CACTGCTGTTGCGCTTCAAGCCAATTTAGCGGCATCAAACGGAGCCTTTGCTCTGTGGTGCTCTGGAGGTGACAGTATCGTCACCTGGGGTAAGGCAGATCATGGTGGTGACAGCTCTGCTGTCCAGTCTCAGCTCAATAATGTGCAACAAGTTCGGGCCACAGGCTCTGCTTTTGCTGCGATCCCGGACAGTGGAGCAGTTGTTGCATGGGGTGCTTCAGAGTGTGGTGGTAACAGCTCTATTGTCCAAGATCGGCTCCAGAATGTGCAGCAGATTCAGGCCACAGCACGTGCATTTGCTGCCATGCCTGCAGATGGATCTGTTGTTGCATGGGGTCATCCGAAGGCTGGTGGGGACAGCTTTGACGTCCAAGATCTTCGGAATGTGCAGCAGGTCCGGAGTGCAGAGGGCGGTGCGTTTGCTGCCATCCTGGAAGATGGATCCGTGGTGACATGGGGCTCTCTCTTTTGTGGTGGTGACTGCTCTGCAATCCAAGATCAGCTCAGGAGTGTGCAGCAGGTTCAGGCCACACATTTTGCATTTGCTGCAATCCTGGAAGACGGATCAGTGGTTACTTGGGGCAATCCAGATTCTGGTGGGGATAGCTCAGCAGTCCAAGATCAGCTGAAGAGCGTCCGGCAGCTTGCAGGGGCCCAGTTTGCATTTGCTGCTGTCCTCGCTTAAATAGATCAGTTGTTACGTGGGGCCATCCACGTGCTGGTGGTGACTCCTCCGCAGTCCAAGATAAGCTCAAGGATGTGCAGGAAGTGTATTCCACATCAACTGCGTTTGCTGCGATCCTTGCAGATGGCTCTGTTGTGACATGGGGCAATCCACGCTTTGGCGGCGACAGCTCGGCAGTCCAAAGCCAACTCAGGAATGTGTAGGTGCAGGCCACATCGAGAGCATTCGCAGCAATCCTGGAAGATGGGTTGGTTGTGACATGGGGCGAATCATACTCTGGTGACAGCTCCACAGCCGCAAAACAGCTGAAGGATCATAGCTACAATCAGCTACAAGAGTTAATTTGCTCAAAGTTGCTGTGGTCAAAAAGGCTCCGTCAAATCTTAAAGATGACCCTAGATATGGGTTTGTTTCAAGGGGTGCCAGAATCCAATGGTGGATCCGCATTTTCCTACCGGCCATGACTTGGGGAGTCTCCGTGTAAATCTGCCATTTCCGGTCAACTCCACAGGGCAAGGGCACCCAAACTCTCGCTAGTGGATTCTCCAATTTTTTTGTGCCAAAAAGACGATTCAGCCGTTTTTTCATGGCTGAGATGTGGCGCAATGGTTCCACGGTTGGTCCTTTGGGTATCCGATTTCTGCCCATGAAATCCCATTAACTTGTTATTCAATATGAATCCAGGATGAATCAACACATCCTGGACGGAAGATCACTGACTGTACATCCGCCATTCCTTCAGAATTCACTGCGTTTTCCGGAAGTGCGTATTTTCCATTGATTTTTTGCACTTTTTGGAGGTTTTGCCGAGGTTCAATTTTTGTAGGATTTTGCAACAAAAACATATGTTTTGCGTGTCTTTACTTGTCTAGCTCGCTTGTTTTGACTGCACAGGCAGTCTAGCTGCGACAATTTCTTGCCCCCACCTGTGTGTGCAAGATCGAAAAAAGACGGAAAGACATGTACGGTATTGGAACCGTGGGCAGAAACATGGAATATATGACCAACAAATACCAACAAAACGATATGGGTTTGTTTGAACATTGATTATACCCTAAATCCACTGAGCTATATTTATGAAAATCTTGGTGAATTATTACTTATTAAAGTTCCCATTTTGAGGGACCCGCCATTTCCAGACAAACCCATCATGTATGTATATATATACACGTATATATATATATATATATCGGGATCCAGTTTTTCTATCCCCAAAATTTGGTAGGTGGAATGATGGATTCAATGGTAAACTCTTCTTCATAAGTGGCTTCTTGACCCCATTGAACAGGTGTATGACTCTAGTTTGATGAGATCAATTTGCAAACGAACATCACTTTTGACAGCTAAAAGAAAATCCGTCGCGAACTGCTGAAAGGTTGCGCAGTCAAAAACTACCCTACGGTAATCAACCGTAGCAAGGGGCAATCCACTATAAACGGAGGTTTATAGCTCGGAAAAATATTGGAGGGTAACCTGACGGTATCCCTCACTGACTGTGGGGTCTGAACAGTGACCGAAGCCTGAAGATTGTTTTTTCCCAGTAAAGATGGAATTTCTTCCCACAGGAAGGGGTCCCCCAGTTAGAAATTGGTTTATAACCCCATCTAACTATATATATACATATATATATATATACACACATGTACATATATACACCACACATCCAATGGTAAACCTACTTACAAACCAACAGAAACCTCTTTTGGGGGTCCCTTCCTGCATGTTTCAATATGTTTGCCCACATTGTTGATTAGTTCTATCTCATATTTTATCCCGGTATTATCTATCGAATCTACCCACTATATCCCCATGATTCATTGCTCAAATCCCCACGGAAATCCTTTCCAATCTCAAAAGTAACTATAAGTTGGGATATGGGACCCCTGCCCCACTAGAATTTTACAATGCACTGTGTCTGTGTATATATGTATATATATATATATCATCCTGGAGTAGATAGAATACGGATATTTCCAAAAGTATCCATAAAGATGGACATATTTTTGACATTTTGATATTCTTGTCTACTTCAGGATGATCATCCATCCATCCATCCATCCATCCATCCATCCATGCATGCATGCATGCATGCATGCATGCATGAATACCTATCAAGTTTACATATATATATATATGTATATGTACATTGATATCATGAGATATATCGTAGATATAACATCCTCTATATATTTTCTATACAATATCATGTCCTCTACACACATATATATATATATGTACATATACATATACACATATAATATACTTATATTCACTTTGGTTCCTGTTCTCTGAATTACCAAGACACCCAGGTCCTCCCCGCGGAACGACGCCCTCAGAAACGGTGCAGACCGTGCTGCGGGGGTCGGCACCTCAGTTGTGGCCACGAATCTGTGGATTTCACAGGATTTTAAGATGGTTAAAAATATTTTCATATGGTTTTATAAGGTTTTATGAATCTGATTAAATTTTCCAATATTACATTTACTGTGGTTTATATGGATTTCCAATAATTTTTTATGGAGAATCATGCGTTTTTTTTCTTTGATGGGATCTTATGGGAATATTGGAAAAAAACGGGAAATTACTACCATCACTGGGAATATTTTCTGGGAATATCATGTAAATTTACTGATTTGATGGGATTCTTGATTGGAAATCGGAGAGAACCAATACCAGTGAGATATCAATGGATAGAAACTGATGGTAATGAACCCTCTGGTGTCATCATTGCAGTGGCTGGGAAATACCCGAACTAAATGCTGGAGGTCTATCTCTGGGAAGCACGGCATGTTTGATGACACAAAGGGGGGTATTTCTATGGAGTATCTAAGTGGATATTATATAGTGGATCTAAGTGGATATTACTGGGATATGAACGGATATATATCTGTAGGATATGAATGGGATACCTAGTAATCGTTTGTATGCTGCAATCAACTATAGTGGGATATTGATATAGAATTTGATGATGGATCTTTGTGGATAATCAAAACATCCTCCAGCCATATTTTTTTCACTCCTATTCGGAAAGGTCCCAAGTAAAAGGGTTTTCACCCTACTAAAGGGCCTGGGATAAGCCATTTGTGATGCTTAAGGATGGTTCCCCTCTGGTAAACTAACATAGCCATGGAAAATCACAATTTTAATGGGTAAATCCATGATGCAGTGGCAATGCACAAACTCAAAAAGGCACATGAAAAGTAGGGATTCAAGATTGAAGAATCAAGAGGAACTAGAGCATCAAGGTTTCAAGCAGAAAACCAGGGAGGCACCAGCAAGAAATTGGTGTTTCAAAGCAAGACACGTTGAGATTTGGATTGGGACGAGGATGTCAGCCTGTTTTAGCAATGGGTCATTGGTTGCTGTCCCTTACCTGGAAATTAGAGATGAACAAGCTGTTGGAGGATGAGATTATTCAGAATCCTTGGGTTTCCAGGTAAGATTAGTTGCTGTTGAAAGGTTTGCTGAATAAAGTGGCACACAGGTTATCATATATACAAATTATATACATGTACATATGTGGATCACAGAGCAAAAATGAGTCAGCAATGAAGAAATGAGGTCCCTCGCTGGAATGAGAGTGAGTGGCGACCTCGGGCTTACGTTCGCATGGTTCCATGGGCCGTGGTCACATCATGTGATTCCAATAGTCTATGTTTGACATGGCTATTTTCGTCTTTTGACGCACCCAAATGGGGCTACCAAGTCATAGCTGGTCTAGCTGGATGTGAATAAACCCCCAGTCATGTGGTGATTTTGATCCATCCGATGTCATTGGTTGACACATCTACGACCCAAACCCATGTCCCTGATATTGACATATGTTAAATACCCCCATGTTGACCCCAATGTATAGATCCAATACTAAACCAGGCTTCTGTTACCCTCTAAACAAACAGTTTGCGACATTGAAAATGGCCCATAGAAATATACAGTTGATTTACCAATTTACCTATTAAAAATGGTGATTTTCCATGGTTTTTTGTTGACCAGAGGGATCTTTTTTGGCTGATCCTGGAGGGGCCTAAGCGGGCGATTTTTTTCATCATGGCTAGTTCACAGGCTGAGTTTCTGGGACCGAAATGGGGATTTCTATGGGGTCAATAACCGGCTGGTTATTGACCAAGTACGGCAGGTTTTTAATGATTTTTAGGTCCCCAGTTATGTCAAAAGCGAAAAAAAGCTTCTGAATACTTCAAGATATATTGGGATGGGTTAAAACCTTGTACCCCTTCTGTTCACATCAAAATAGCTGGGATTTATGGATGTTCATCCCCCTAAACATGATATAATGATATTTATAGGTATTGATCCATGGCCATATCTATCTATTCATACCATGGTTACCATGGTTGCCATAGTAATTCACCAAGTGATGCCAACTTGGCGATTGTGGACTCCGCGGTTCAAGAAAAGAAACACCCGCACGACTTTGGGTGATCGGCGCCCAGCCATAGTTGAGGCTGGGGGGTTCCATTCTGGTGGGAGTTGAAAGTCCGGAGGTTTGCAAAACATGGATATCTTCTGTCATCAAACGTGGTTGCTGGAACATCCCCGAAGGAAAAAATCGAGGTGTTTTCATGGGAGAATCATCGAAGTGAATGGTATTCTAACATGTCAATGGTTCCTTCGCCATTTTCAATAGGCAAACGGGGGTGTTCCATTCCTAGATTAGAACAGACGATGGAGGTGACTTTGGAGTTACAACCTATGAAAATAGTGAGGTGACCAACAAGGCTATATGGAGGTTTCCCAAGTCATGGGGTACCCCCAAATCATCCAGTCGTCATGGATGACCATGACTTAGTATTGAAACCCATGGTGACTTGGGGTACCCGCATTTTAGGAAACCTCCATATGGATAAATCTGAAAATTGGGCAATTCCAGAATGCAAAGATTTGTCATTATTTTTCCGTATAGGCAAGTCGCAGCTGAAGCCCCCACTTTCAGACACACACCCAAATGTCCTTAAACGCACATGAAATCCCATTAAAAACCAATTCCATGACAATTTATGGGGTAAAACCACCAACATAATCGTGAGTAAATGGGTTTGGGTCCAAACTCGATCAAACATTGACCCACACTGGACCATAGGAAAATGTGGAAGTTCGCAGCCCTGTTTGTCTGCAAGATTTCCTGGAAGTATGATGTCTGACATTGTCTTGCCAGCAACGAAACGGTGCAGGCCTTAAAGACCTTGGTCTATTCCATGGCCAAAAGAACATCTTTCATGAGTCCCTTGGAGCAAGACTTCAAGCTTCCAGGTTGGATACGATGAGACCATGTGAGAAATTTGCTTTCGAACATCACCAAGATTGGGTGAAACCTATAGAAACTCGTTTTGGCAAGATCTTGTGGTAAAACTCTGGTAAACGTTTACAAAAAACTATGGAAAATCACCATGCTATTAATGGGTAAATCCAGTATTTCTATGCCCATTTTCAATAGCAAACTGTTAGTTTACCAGAGGGTAAAACTCTACTTACAGATCTTACAGGTGATGTTTAGTTTATTTTTTTTTCCGTGAGGTGGGTCACGTGTTTCAGGCGCAAGAAACAACACTGATGGTTCTGTAAGTCGCGTTGCTTTTCCATTATGGTTTCTTATGCCCAATTAACATCTCCACTCTTGGTTCTTGGAATTCAATTTTCTTGGCGGGGTGAATTGCCTTTTTGTTCTGCTTCGATTCCCTTTTTTGGTAGGTGATCGTCACTTTGTTTGGATCTCCTCGACCATTCTTGTGGGAATTTCCCCATTGCTTGATTGCTTGTTGGTCAAAATCTTCAATGAGCTAGCTGAAGTATAACCACCTCACTCGGTGTCTGGAATGATTATTGATTATTAGTAAGGTGAATCAGCCCCAAATGTCTTTACTTCTGGGTGAATTAGAATTTATCCAGATAGTAGTTTCACACGAACCATCCCCAATATGAAATTGGTGAGCATCTGAATCATCTTCAAATTACACGAACATACACTAACATACACTAACTTCCAGTTATAAGTTGATGAAGTTGGTTTATAACCTCATCTAAATATAAGATAATATAAGTATTTGCATATCTTTCACTAACTTCTTGTTGTTATTTGCACCAACAGCACACGCGATTCCGATAACTGGGGCCCCACCCTGCCAGCCTCGAGGTCGCCGCCGTTCTCCTGTGAGCCTCTTGGCCCTGGCCCTTGCAACTTTGGCGTCGCTGGCCTCTTGTTTTGTGGGGCCACGGGGTGTTGGAAGAGGTGCCTTGGCTGCGAATGGCAGTGGCACAAAAAATCTGTGTGTGTATATATATATATTATATGTATATATATATAATAATCAATAATCAGAATTAGTAATGATAGTACTAATAACAGTATATAATAAGAAATAAGAACAATGATAATAGCAATATTAAAAGACATAACACTTATAATGATAATTAACAATAATAGAAATAATAATATGTATAACAATAACAATATGTACATACAATAAGATATAGTATATACACATATAATCATGTATATACTATACAATTTCATTTAGTTTATTTAGGGCATACACATATATTGTATGTATATACATATAGTGACAGTCTAAAAGGTCTGCCCGATCGGGACGCAGGAGGGGAGCTGATAGATGTTCGATAGGAGAAGAAACTGTGTTTTCATGTAGATTTTCCCATAGACTAAGGATCTCCTAAATCCATAATTTAATCAAAATTTAATCCGATGGTTTCAGATTCACTTCCCTCAAGCTTGCAATAAATTGAGGTATCCTCCAGTAGAGAAGCCAAGTTGTGTATCTGAAGAGATTCTCTGTTGACATTGTCTCCATCGACTCGAGTTTATCCAAGCCATGAAAATTACCCTGGTTAGTTGGTTGGTTCCTTTAGGGGGGTTATACTGTACACTTGGTAACCTTTACCAGGAATACATATTCCACATCGAGCAACCAGTAGAATGGGCTAGGCTATTTTTAACACATATTTTCATGTCTACCCTCTGGTAAACTAACATAACTATGGAAAATCACCATTTTTAATGGGAAAATCCACTATAAATTGCCATTTTCAATAGCTATTTTGACATAACCAGAGTAATTTCGACATATTTCGACGTATATGGATGGTCTGAAAATACGCAGCCCTAAATCCGCTGGTTCATCATATCATATCTAGCAACTCTGCAGTGCGATTTTTCGTATGACAACAAGCCCAGAAGTCCAAGAATTTTGTAGTCTCTTCATTGGGTCGATTGAATGTAAAACTGTAAAATCCACTGTTGAAGCTATAGGTTTTTAATATAATGTGGTTAAAACAATAATGATCCATCCCCAAAATCACCATAAATGGGTGGTATAAACCATCAAAAATGGCATCGTTTACAATTGTTTTACCCACGTTACTTGTTTTTTGTAAATGCATTTTGTGAGGGTTTTACCTGCAGAATTTCTGAGAAACAACTTCTGAGAGTGTTAGTTTCCAGCTGGTCACTAGTTGGATGGTCGCTATATCAGCAAATTGTTTTGCTTCAAGTCCAAAATTTCCAAGCGCAGATGATGCTTCGAATAGATATCGCTTTGCCGAGTGGAACACGGAAACGCCTTGAAGTTCCAGAGTCCTCCACAGTAGGAGATTCCAAAATTCTGGTCCAGAAGTCTTTCCGACAAGGCTTCCTGAAACTCATTACTGCAGAAAGCCGGGCTTCGTGAATGGAGACCAGCTCACTGCTGTTGCGCTTCAAGCCAATTTAGCGGCATCAAACGGAGCCTTTGCTCTGTGGTGCTCTGGAGGTGACAGTATCGTCACCTGGGGTAAGGCAGATCATGGTGGTGACAGCTCTGCTGTCCAGTCTCAGCTCAATAATGTGCAACAAGTTCGGGCCACAGGCTCTGCTTTTGCTGCGATCCCGGACAGTGGAGCAGTTGTTGCATGGGGTGCTTCAGAGTGTGGTGGTAACAGCTCTATTGTCCAAGATCGGCTCCAGAATGTGCAGCAGATTCAGGCCACAGCACGTGCATTTGCTGCCATGCCTGCAGATGGATCTGTTGTTGCATGGGGTCATCCGAAGGCTGGTGGGGACAGCTTTGACGTCCAAGATCTTCGGAATGTGCAGCAGGTCCGGAGTGCAGAGGGCGGTGCGTTTGCTGCCATCCTGGAAGATGGATCCGTGGTGACATGGGGCTCTCTCTTTTGTGGTGGTGACTGCTCTGCAATCCAAGATCAGCTCAGGAGTGTGCAGCAGGTTCAGGCCACACATTTTGCATTTGCTGCAATCCTGGAAGACGGATCAGTGGTTACTTGGGGCAATCCAGATTCTGGTGGGGATAGCTCAGCAGTCCAAGATCAGCTGAAGAGCGTCCGGCAGCTTGCAGGGGCCCAGTTTGCATTTGCTGCTGTCCTCGCTTAAATAGATCAGTTGTTACGTGGGGCCATCCACGTGCTGGTGGTGACTCCTCCGCAGTCCAAGATAAGCTCAAGGATGTGCAGGAAGTGTATTCCACATCAACTGCGTTTGCTGCGATCCTTGCAGATGGCTCTGTTGTGACATGGGGCAATCCACGCTTTGGCGGCGACAGCTCGGTAGTCCAAAGCCAACTCAGGAATGTGTAGGTGCAGGCCACATCGAGAGCATTCGCAGCAATCCTGGAAGATGGGTTGGTTGTGACATGGGGCGAATCATACTCTGGTGACAGCTCCACAGCCGCAAAACAGCTGAAGGATCATAGCTACAATCAGCTACAAGAGTTAATTTGCTCAAAGTTGCTGTGGTCAAAAAGGCTCCGTCAAATCTTAAAGATGACCCTAGATATGGGTTTGTTTCAAGGGGTGCCAGAATCCAATGGTGGATCCGCATTTTCCTACCGGCCATGACTTGGGGAGTCTCCGTGTAAATCTGCCATTTCCGGTCAACTCCACAGGGCAAGGGCACCCAAACTCTCGCTAGTGGATTCTCCAATTTTTTTGTGCCAAAAAGACGATTCAGCCGTTTTTTCATGGCTGAGATGTGGCGCAATGGTTCCACGGTTGGTCCTTTGGGTATCCGATTTCTGTACTGGGACCAGGAAAAGGATCGGAACCACAGATGGATCACTAATTTTTGAGTTTTTTTGGGATGAATGATGAATGTAGCCATCTTATTTCATCTTTGGATACTCAGTGACTCGAAATCTTATTTTAGACTTTTTTTCAGCGAGGATTGAGCCAACTTCCAGAAACTTCACAGTTCCTCCCGTGGTTATTCTCAAAAGAAGTTGCGTTTAAAATTTCCTCCAGATGCCATATCTTCATGTTTCCATTTCTTTCACCGTGAAACAGTTGGTCCAAGCGTTCTTCGAGAAAATCCCGCGAATCGAGACTGTTTCAAAAAACGCGGTTGTGGGATTATCCCATGTAATTACTAATTGTTTTGTCCAATTCCTTCATCAGTTCTTCCAGTAGTAGGTCAATTACTACTCATTTTCTCCAAATCTTTCATCAATTTTCAACCACACATTCAACAATTTTTCAGGTTCTTCACCATTTCTCACCATGGTTCCACCATTTTTTCCACCATTTTTTTGGTGGCGGCAGCTCCAGGTGCCACTTCGGTCATGCGGGCAGAGGCCACTGAGACGGAGACGAAGCCGGTGAAGAGTGGACCCTCAGAGGCGGAAAGGGGATGAAATGGAGAGGTGGGGATGATGCAAAACTGGATTTACATGGGAATTTCATGACATTTTCCATGGGAATTTTTGATGGGATTTTCATGGGAATGTCATTGGGCTTTAATGGGATTTCATGGGATTTTCATTGGATTTTCATAGGGCTTTAATGGGATTTCATGGGATTTTTGATGTAGATATATTGGATATAATGGGATATCATAGGATTCTATGCGGATATAATGGGATATCCAACCATTTTCAGGGTTCCAAGCAATCATAGACTAATGATGGCCACTATTGGAAGGATTTTTTGGTCATTTTGCCTCCCTATCTACCAATAAAAGCCCCCTTGTGTCTGGGGTGTTGGGAGCAACCCTGATAGGACTTTTTTTGGAACATGGGTTTTAATGTTTTTTTTGATATAACACAGATGAAATTGCCGTGGAAATTGGGTGGAAAAGGGTTTTAAGCATCCATTTTTGATGATATTGGGGATATAAGATTTATTGCTGAGATAATGGGATAGCTAAGCAACAGTCTTGGATAGTGGGTCTGACTGAGAATTGTTAGTATACTACCAAGCTTGTTACATTTTGATGATTAACCTGAATCTATAAATTGTTATCTTATTTCAGACAAACCCATGTGGTGATTTGTTTGGCAGCAATAGTCAGGGTGAATTTCGCCAAGTCACCCAACTGTTGCAGTTTTTTTCTTAAACATCTTTTCCGGGAAAATGTGGGTTACTGTAGTTGAGATTTAACCAGCAAAATTGGGGCTTAACATAGCGTGAGCAACAGAATGTGGTGGTTCTACTAGCAAGACTGGGGATTTCAGCAATTTCCATTTTTTTCCTAAGCAACACAGATTCCATTTTCCCTACGTAGCAGCCATCAATTTTCAGGCCATGGGGAATAATTGACTGCGCCGAAAATGGCTCAGTAAATAAACTGGAAACATTTATGAAGGATGGATTTCATGAAATTAATGAATCATTGTATCACATTGACTGCGCACATATATATATATATACATACATATACATATACATATGTTTATATATATGTATATATATACATATATTTATATATACACATATTTATATATACATATATTTATATATACATATATTTATATATACATATATTTATATATACATATATTTATATATACATATATTTATATATACATATTTATATATACATATATTTATATATACATATATTTATATATACATATATTTATATATACATATATTTATATATCCATACATTCATACATACATACATTCATACATTCATACATACATACATACATACATACATACAGACAGACAGACAGACAGACATACACACATACATACCTACCTACCTACCTACATACATACATACAGACAGACAGACAGACATACAGACATACACACGTACACACATACACACACACATACATACATACATACATACAGACAGACAGACATACATACATACATACACATACATACACATACATACACATACATACACATACATACACATACATACACATACATACACATACATACACATACATACACATACATACACATACATACACATACATACACATACATACACATACATACACATACATACACATACATACACATACATACACATACATACACATACATACACATACATACACATACATACACATACATACACATACAGACACATACAGACACATACAGACACACACATACACACACACATACACACATACACACACACACATTTCTGGCAAATTTGGGGATTTTTGCATGCTCTTGGGTATGGTTCTTAATAGCTCAAAAAAAATAGGGACATTTTGTATCACAGTGTATATCGCACGGCATCCCCATTACATTGTCGCTTATATCCCAGGAAATATCCCATTCAACCCCATGAAGTAGCTTCCCAGTACTACTCTCCACGCATCCATCGAACTGGGAAACTCAGAGAAACCCCTACGTAGGGAATACCTAGAATAAATAGGAAGTAAAGATTTAATTGTGGTTTGATTTCTTTCAATGGAACCATGAAAGCCGTCGCCAGGTTTTCTTTTGCAACATCTAAGGTGTTTCCATCGACAAAAATGGTGGCTGAATGAACAAACATGTTTTGCCATGATTTAACCAGCACGAAATGAGGATTCGACCAAGGAAAATTGGGGATGGGTCAATAGCTATTGTTTCGCAAAATAGTGCTGACATTAGGGCTTGAACCCATCGACATTGACTGGGTTCGTTTCCATTAAAATATGGGATGGCATCAACCGACGCAAAATGGGCAATGGATATCTGACTTAGGGTGACTCTAATACATAGCATAGGACTTGACCAATAGAAACAGGGGGGTTCCAACCAAGAAAACATCTGCAACCATGACAAAAAATACGATCCCCCCCACTGAATATCGGGACTCATCAAAAACTCCTTAGGCAAACCAGTAAAGTTAATGATTCACTCACCCGGCTTTGGCTATTTTAAAAGGCATTTTTTGCAGATTGCCTGGAAAATAATCCTACTTTGTCCAAAAAGTCTGACATTTATATCGTCTGAGTAATCAGTTAGTGTTTTTGGGTGCCAGTTACACTGGGGAAGTAAACCTACACAGGTGGGGGTTGTAACCAAGAAACATGGCAACTAAAATCCATGATGATGATGATGATGATGACGACGATGACGATGACGATGACGATGGTGATGACGACTATGAAAATTGTTCCGTAAGGTGCTGGTGAATTTGCCCAGCGTTTTTTTTTACAAAAAACACCAGAGAAATCGTCAGCAGGAAGCCATCAAGACGCGCAGCATTTTCATGTCATTGGACTCAGAGACTTGGTCCAGAAGGGATGTCTTGGGCGGCCTCGATGTCTGGATGTTTCAGGGAGGCCCACTTCGCCAACTTTTTGCATCAAAAAAACTACCACAGTATTCGCAGTTTGTGTCAATCTCCACGTTACCATATTAATAATTTTTGACTTCCAGTATTTTGAATGTTCCATCCTAGTCCAGATGACTATTGCATTTGTCTAATATTTACAGGATTATTGAAAACTACCAGCCAGGCAAGTCTTGTCCTTGATAGCGTAGGATTTTGATTCTCTTCTAACCCTCTAGCAGAGTGCATAGTGTGAACATCTTGCCAATATAGCGATCCTCAAAACGATAGAAATACCATTTCCAGGATGTGAATTTGATGATATTCTCCTCAAAGTTTCCAGGTTTCTCAATTTTGTATACACTTCCAGTTTCTCTTGTTTGGTGTTTTTCCATACTAAAAGAATGTGATCTGGGTAAATTATAACGACCTCACTGCGACCGAAGCCTGGAATCATGGTTAATAAGGGGAATCATCCCAAAATGGCCTAACATTTCAGGTTCGTGAAATATTACCCTTTGGTAATTTAACATAGCTATTGAACATAGCCCAGTCGAAATAGTTGATTTACCCATGAAAATCGCATGGTGGATCTTTCCCATCAGTTTTTTGTAAACGTTTACCAGAGGGTATAATTCACCCAGATGTGATGACATCTGGTTTTTCGGGGGATCCAAGTGTCGCTCCTTGAGGATGAGTTTGGCATCGATGAGGAACAGAGACTTTGGCGGTATTTTTGAGCCTAGGGGGCTGGAGTTGGTATATATCATAACAGGTACATGGTGAACACCTAATATATATATATATGTGATTACATATGTATACATTATGTATATATTTATATATGTATATATTTATATATGTATATATATATATATATGTATATATATATATGTATGTGTATATATATATGTATAATGTGCATATATATATATATTTACAGATACTTGTCGCATATCATGGCTCCTCAATCGTTCCAGATCAATCGTTTCTGAATCTTAGGATGAAGAAGACGGGCATCCCCACCGAAGAAACGGATCCTTGGCGCCCGGCGCGATCCTCCCAGTCATTGGTCATTGGTCCAGTAACTGGAATGTGAACATACATACATATATGTGTATATATATATATATGTATATACACATATATGTATTATATATATATATATGTACTAATGTTAATATTATCTTACTTAATTCAACTAATTTAGTTAGTCTCATCTATTTATATGAATTTTATCAGTGTCAGTGGACTTTATAGGAACACGGCTGATGGGACCCCATTCCCATACTACTCCCATTTTACTCCCATAAGAAAAGCCTAGTTGCTGCATGGGACTTTTTTGGTGTTTTCATTCCATGGGAGATGGGTGATCCAATCATCTAGAAATGCTGTGAACGCTAATATCCAATAATATTTATTCATCATTCATCTAGAAATCATTTAATCATCATATTATCTAGCAGTCAATCTTTAATGATATTAATGATGAAATCTAGGTGCTCCATAAATATATGGCCATTTGACAGGGATAGTTGATGAGAAAATCATCGATTTGGACAGACCTAGTGGCCCAGTTGCAGGTGTCTAAAACTCCTGGGCGGCAAGAAACATGCGACAGCTGGTGTTTTTTCATGGTTGATTACCCTCTGGTGATCTAACATAGCTATGGATAATGGCACATTTATAGATGATAACCACGATGATTTACCTATCAACCACTGTGATTTTCCAGTTCGCTACGTTAAATAACCTTAAATGGTACAAGTTTTGGGGTTGCCCATGTTGCAGACACATCAAGATGGCCATTGTCTGCTACATGTGGAGTTTCTCTTCTGCTTGGTGGATTTTCAGGATGCACTCGTTGACTGGCTGTTTGTTGTGTGCTCTTTGTCGACTGGTCGTGCCCCCATTTTGTTCCCATGGCTTCATGAACTGTGTCCCTTTCCTTGTGGATGATCTATGGTGATGTCCGATGTCCGTTTCAGTTGCATCTTGCGGGAAGGATATTCTTGAGGTATGGCTGGTATGGCTAGTACCTTCTGGAAATCACGGAAAAAAAATAACAGCCCCTTTGTCGATCGTCCCATCTTGCCGATCAGGGTTTAGGGTCACATCCAGCCACTGGCCATTTGCAGCCGAGGAACCGGATTCCTTGCAGAAGGTTGGTGATTTCATCTCGGGTCCCTTCATCCTGCCCTTTGTGGTGGCTGTCGTCTCTTCGGTGACGTTCGTTGGGGGGGGGACAAGTTGGTGGTCCCCTCAAATGACCGAGTGATGTTTATTGGTTTATTAATTTATGGGTGTATGGTTTATAAACCCCATAAAGTACTTGGATATACCTACTATTTCACCCCAGTGAGTTAAGTTATGGCTTTTGTTCTACACCATTTTGTAGAACTCTATAATCGGGATAACGGGATAGCTTTAAGTCATGTAAAGTGCTGTGATTGTGATAGATCATAGTTAGGTCGTTAGGTTGGTTAATAAACCACCACAGTAACATTTGAGAACTGTCGGGGCACCATAAAGGGTAGCTACCACAATGGTGGTGTCAGGTTTCACCATTAGATGATGAATAGCAGAGGAGTAACTTGACCCTTTGACCACTGACAAGTAGAAGTGATGTTTTTCATGGTATTAAAAAAACCCCACCCATCTGATCCATCTGTTTGTTCCCAATATGATCCCCGATTTTCCTGAGGCAACCTGTTTGTCTGGGACTAAAAAAAGCAGAAACAATATCAAAGACAATCGAAAGAACTCCGTCCAAAGGTTTTGGTGCAAAATCAGTTGATCTCCGAGTGGATTGAACGCAGTTTGAAGCAGATACCAAATTCAAAGAGGGAGCCGATTCTCAGCAATTTTCTTAATTTTGCTTCGAGCATGAGCGGTGATTTTCCCGCTTTGATTCAAGGGATCGCACTCCCAACTGTCACCTATTTCCAGCGAGAAATTGGGGCTCTATTGCTCCAGAGTTCACATCAATTGCACGGGTGAGTCAGAAAATTGGTGATTTTCCACAAAATACCCTCTGGTGAACTAACATAGCAATGGAAAATGGCTATTTATAGTGGATTTTCCCATTAAAAATGGTGATTTTCCATTGCTATGTTAGTTCACCAGAGGGTAACAATTTTGCAGAATTCTATATACAAGCAAATACGATGATTAACCATGATGAACCATCAAGTTTGGGGGTATGATATTTTCAGACAAATCCGTGGTGGCGTGGAAAACGTTTGGCTGGTCAAAAAACGATCCCTTCCGGTCGAAAAATCGATGGCAACTCAAACCATTGTGAAGTTTCCGTAAATCATCTTGCGGGAATCCTCATAGTTTGTCACTGGGTTTAGAGGATGTGAAAAAATCTGTAAATCCTTTTCTCATGTTATCTTAGAATTGCGGATTTTGATGCTTCTTGGCTCACGGAAAATCCATGAACATCTCTTGTGTCGACTAGCCTCTTGTGTCTTGGCCGGCTCGCTTCATCCGTCCGAAAAGATGTGAAAAAAACGGCCCAGCAGTGACATTGAGGTGGCTTACCTGACCTACTATGTCTTCTTTACCAAGGCTCGAGACTGTTCAGGGGATCAAGTTCAAAAACCCTATGGGGATGACATTTTTGTAGGAACCGATGGGGATTTCACCAACTCTGGGATCACTTTGAGCCAAAGCTTGGAGGAACATAGTTAGTGACATTGATCCACAAGTCCCACCATCATCCGAAAATCTCTGGGGTATCAGGTTTTCAGGTTTTTCCAGGGGCCCCTCAGGCTCGCACAGGGCAGCTGATTGATCCAAATCCGAGAGGTTTGCTATGACTTGGGGCAGTGGAACCATAATGAGCGCCTTATTGACCATAGTAAGGTTTATATTAATATTATTCTATATTACCATAGGTATACCGTATACCCATGAATAGCCCCAACTGCAGCCCCAAGTATATAGAAGGTCTTTGGAAACAAACTTTTTCCGGGTGATTTTCCACGATTTATTTTGCCAATTTTTGTTGGTTGTATACCCCACATCCCTATCCATAGAAAACAAAGTCCTCTGAGCATCAAAAGAACACGTGAACCAGACCGCGCAGGAAGCAGAGAAAGCCTTCTACTACGGCTCAGTGAATGAGAAAGCCCTGGTCAGCGGAGAGGCCGCGGATTGGGTCAAAATGGTTGAGAGGCGGTGAAGAGAAGGGGGTTCGCATTCCAATTTTTGGTTGTCCAAAAAGGGGCTACCCAAAATCTCATGGTGTAGAAAAACAGGTTTTACATGAATTCTTTAGGCAATTTTGGGGTATATGTACCCCAGAACGTTTTTTCGCGCCACAGATTTGGGCTGTACTTTGCAAGTCAGGTCCTCCCATGAACTAATCTGCGGGGATTCGCGTCTTTTCCTGAAATTGATTCGAATCTTCGTCATGTCCCGGCATTTCTTGTATGCGAAGTCTCATTGTATTCTCGGAAAATCATTAAAATCATCCTCATTGTAGCTTCTTTTGTAAGTCCCTCACATGTGGCTTTATCCTGGTTTATCATGGTTTATCCAAAAATAGAGGATCCGCCCAACTGTTGCCATTTACTCTCTGGCAAACTAACATAGCTATTGAAAATTACCATAGACATAGTTGATTTACCCTGTAAACATGTTGATTTTCCATGGTTTTTTGTAGGTTTACCAGAGACTAAGTGGAGACAAGATGAAGATTTTACGGCATTTTACGGCTTGCCACATGGACCTGGGACGAAATTTGGGATGATCTCCGACTTTCCATGGATAAAATTTTCGGGTTATATCCTGTGGCCATATCCCCATGAATTAATGGTTGGTTTATATCCCCATGGATTTTTCTAAGGATTATATCACCATAAATGTTAAAATTTCCACATATTTGAAGTCTTTTTTTTTTACTGGACATTTTCAGAATCACATTAAACAATTACGATAACCATGGGGTTTATGGTGATATTTCCCTGACTTTCTGGCTGAAAGCCTCACAACTAACCCAAGCATCGCACGTCAGGGTGACTCTGGCTTCGACTTCAGGGCCCTGAATCCAGACATGGTGGATGCTACTTGGATCTAAGCACGGATGAAGATTGGACGATTGGAAGGGGATACGGTTATTGCGAATAGTGGGAGATAGTGGGAATATTTACTGGGATATATATGATGATATATGTATATTGTAATATTATATATATATAATACAATGATTCTGAGAACCTGTCTATTTATTTGATGATATCCCATGATATACCCACTTATATAATCCAGAATTGATTTGATTGGTATCCCATTCAGAATCAGGTTTTCTAAGTCATGAGGGTACCCGCAAATCATCCCTATGTCAAACAATCATTGTAATATTTTTCAACAACTATGGTGACGCAAGACTTTGGAAATCTCCATTGATTTTTCAAGATCCATCCATCCATCCATCCGTCCGTCCATCCATCCATCCATCCATCGATCTGTAAAATGAGGAGATTTCATGGGAAGACAATCTCTGGGATATGAGGATTTTATGGGGACATACCCTCTGGCAAACATACAAAAAGCTGTGGAAAATCCTCCCTTTGAATGGGTAAATCAACTATTTCTATGGTCATTTTCAATAGCTATGTTAAATTACGGGCAGGACTGAGGGGTGTCCCGGAATGGTCGTATGAACGTCAGTGGGAAGCTCATTTCTCTGCGCAGGCGCAGTGTTCTACGACTCTGGTACATCTGTGGGTTAGCGTGGTCTAAGACGACTTTTTGGAAAAATCAGTCAGAAAAGTAAACCCTCTGCGGACTTCACACGTTTCGGCCATTTCCACTTTTTCAATCTTTTTCACTTCTTTGGCGAGCCCGGAATTTATAACTTATGTAAACCCTAAATGAAATCCCTTAATAGAAGTATGCGTATATGTTCCATGGGGCCGAGAGATTTTATAACTTACGTAAACCCTAAATGAAACCCCTAATAGAAGTATGCGTATATGTTCCATGGGGCCGGGAGATTTTATAACTTACGTAAACCCTAAATGAAACCCCTAATAGAAGTATGCTTATATGTTCCATGGGGCCGGGAGGTTTTATAACTTACGTAAACCCTAAATCAACCCCTAGTAGAAGTATGCGTAGGACGTCACTGTTGTTATGACAAGGAAATCCCCTGGCACCAATGGGTTGCTAGCCCCGCTCTCGGGTATCACCCTCCGGGCCATACCCTCACAGGACGAGGGGTTGTCCCTTCGGGACAACCCCTCGTCCTGTGGGTTAAATTACTAGAGGGTACCATCATTATCCATCATTATTGGTTGAACCCGAGCTATATCCCCGTTTTGTTCTCGCTCAAATTCCCATTTGTGCTTGTGAAATTTACATAACTCACCTCCTTGTACCGACAAGAATCCCAGAGATTTTCCTATACGGCCTGATGTCTATCAAATCTTATTGTCTCGTCCATTATTCCCTGTTTCATCCGCATTTTAATCCCGTTGATCCCCAGTTGGGTTTGGCTGAAAACAGGGTATCCCCAAGATTCAACGGTTGATATCCTGTTTTCAGACAAAGCCCTCCATGGAGGTTTCTGTTTCATGGGGGTACCCTAAATTCCTAGATCATCCATAAACAAATTTGGGATTCCATGAAATAAACCATCCATATATAGGGTTAGCCTCAGGACTATGGAACCCCGTGAATGGCTATGGATCCATATAACTAATCCCATCCACCCGTCATAGTAAACATATTAAACAGCCCCAACTTAATAGTCCAAATGACGTGGTTTCATTCCCAAGAAAAATCCTGGTTTGGTTTGGGGGGTGTTTCATGTGAACGGGGGAAGGGATTATACATCATGACATCCCATTGTATCCCATTATATCCCCATACTGGTGGTGATATTCCCATGATATCCCCATATTGGTGTTTATATTGCAAGTATATCCCCATATTGGTGGTTAAATCTCGCAAATTTGTTTGGGGATGGAGATCCAGAAATCAGGAGATCAAAGAGGCCATGGCGCAGCAGACCCTTGGCTTTCGAACAATTTTTGGCTGTGGCTCTGGAAGTGAAAACCAAAGGAAAAAAGCTGGGCAAGAAATATGACGACTATATATATATATATACACTGTATATATATAATATTATATATATATAAATAAATAAACAAACTATTTTTTCTATAAAAATACGATTTTATGTAGGCATTTTTTTTTGGACAGAAGAACTTTTGGGGCTTTGAGGCGGCTGGAAATGGGGAGTTGAAATGGGACCATTTTGTTGTAATGGAGCGAACTCAAAGCGCGGCACCGCACATGGTCCATTGCTGACGCATCCCGCACAGCTCGCAAACAGTTTCTATGGAGAAATTTAGAGGCAAGTCATGGGTGATATTTCCACGCCCAAAAGCCCAAAGATCAATACTTTTTGAGTGGGAAACCCAAAGACCTGGGGGTATTCTTGTTTTGGGAAAGATCCGCCGTTTCTTTGTGGAATGCCCCTTGAACCAAGTCTGGAACAACTGCGACTTGGCCCAACAGGTTTGGAGCTTTCAAGCGGTGGTTGAAATTTGGCACTCCATTTTTATTTCTTCGTCATTCTCCCCAAAAAGATAGAACGGTACAATCGTGACAGCTTACCCTCTGGTAAACTAACAGTTTGCTATTGAAAATGGCCCATTTATAGTTGATTTACCTATAACAAATGGTGATTTTTCATAGTTATGTTAGTTTACCAGAGGGTACTTTTCTATCTTTTTGGGGGTTGTTGTTGTATACGAAGCTCTTCCCCAAATCTCAGACCTAGATGTTTTGGAATGTTTTGGAATACCCTGCATTTTTGGACACGCAACAAATTTATAAATTTCATAAATCTAGGGCTCTCCAAAAGATAGAAATACGATCCACTTCTTTTTGATGCTTTACATATGGCTATGGGTCAATACCTATAGATACATTTTTAGTGGGATGAACATCCATTTACCAGCTATTTTGGGGTTCACTAGGTACCAGGGTTTTGACCCATCCCCATATTTCTATCGGAAAAAAATCCGCAAACTCCAGCGCAGTGGGTGGAAATGATGATCGAAGCAGTGTCGCGCGGGGTGGGGGACTCGGGGTCGGTTGCCAAGGAGCCAGACAGACGCCATGGACGCAGGGGAAGCCACACCGGAAGCCACACCGGCGCCGGCGGAGTGAGCTGATGACACCCCCGTTTTTTCACGAAAACCGAGGGTTGGAATGGCAAGGTGAGACATATTTTTTTCAACTAAAGTGCTATCCAGTGATGATTGGAATGGCAATTTTAGGGAGATATTCTCCAACTATTCTCCAACTAAGTGCTATCCTTTTTTTGAGAAAGTTGGTGAATGATGAAGATTCAGAGTGGGAAAGTCCTCCCAATTGGGGATAAACATATCATGGCACTATCCAGTCTCCACTATCCGTCCGAACTCCTTCAGCATCGTTTTTTTACGACAGAGTTGCAGTAAAAATGACTTCAAGAACACTAAAATGAGCACTCAAAATTCAAGTGGTGATACTATAAAAAGGATACAACAGGTTACAACAGGTATTTTTCTAGTTATTCTGGGTTGCTTATAGCCACTAAAGTCACCATATCTTGAGATCACTATACCAGCGTCAAGCAATTCAGAAATCAGTGGACACTGGGCGTTGGCCTTGGTCATTTGGGCCTTGTTTTTGGGTCCAAAAGAAACCCTGCGTGATTCCCAACGGAGTGGTGCAGACTGTACAGACTGGTTTTGGGATCATGAAGAACATCAGGCAATGTGGGTATTGGTCAACTCTAAAGCCCAAGGCTTTGTAGATTCTAGATTTTGTGAGTTTTAGTCGCAGATCATCTAATTTTTGGGCAAGCACTTTTCACTAGTCTATATGTATTTTGGTGGATGATTTCGCAGTGTTTTTGGTCTCCCACATTGGGGGATATAATCCCCATTGTTGAATCCACCAAACATCATGTTAATGAACTCCCTCGTTTCTGGTTCATTTTCCCAAATTTCCTCAATCAAACGGGGCAATGGACCATCCCACGAAGTATCTGGAGGCTGAGAAAATCATGCAGAGATGGTGGGATTTTCCAGCAAATGATCTTTGATTACCGGGTATTTTTCAGAGGTACGTCATGAAATAATCTGCACAGCCACCAACCTTCTTGTTCACAGCTTTTATCCCGCCACTTTGGACGCGTTGCGGCGCCGCAACTGGCCAGCAGGGGAGGGAGATTTAGACAGGGCTGCGCGCAGCCCTGCTGGTTGATGCTTTGGGGAGGTTTGGGCACTACCCGGCCTGGTAAACATACAAAAAACGATGGAAAATCACCATTTTCAATGGGTAAATCCACTATAAATGGTCATTTTCAATAGCTATTTTGACATAACCAGAGGGTACCCAATATGTTGGGGATTAGCATTCTCCACTGAGAGTTCCTGTTTGAACATTGCCCAAGTGAATCTCGGATGAGTCAAGATGGATGAACTCTCCTGGAAAGCAAGGCCTGTGGAACCACCGGGGACCAAATGGGACTTTTCTTGTTCCGGATTTTGATCCATACCCTGTGTTGATTGTGCCGATCTCATCATTTCAGACCAAATGGCGAGTGGTTTCTCATATCAAAAAAACTTAGGTTTCTACCAACAAATCGCGAGAATTCATGCGATATGGCTGGTTGATGGTTTCTTTTTGTTTCAATCCCTATTTGGAATGATTAATTACCACTGAAAAAAGAACGTTTTCAAGATGGTCGACTTAAACAGAACTGCGCAGTACCCAGGTACGGAATTTTTGCAAAATAACAATTCTGCGGCATCATTCACCAACGAGTTCTACTTGACCCTGCCTGTTTCCCAAGCTGTTTCATGTCCATGATTTGTCAATGATATGCAATGCAATTTAAGTAGGGTTTTCACGTGGAGTACCCATCAACAGTTTGATTTACATATATTTAGCAATTACACATGGTGATTTTCCAGTTCCCTAAACTCTTAGTTTTTCACCAACAGGGACAGAGTAGTAAAAAAAAATCCTCAGGATTTATAGGCCTGGTTTACCAAAATTCAGGGGCACCAGATGTAATTTTCCACCACTATTTTGGGAAGCAAACATTGATTGTTGAGCTTAGAAACCGCCCAGCGGTTTCTCTTCATAACCTGCTGGTCGATCCATTGAGTTTTCCCGCAGAGCCCTGACAACGTCAGTGGCTGCAGCCTTTTCTGCAGCAAAACTTCCAAGGATTTGAATTTAGATCAAAAATATTTAAAGATTGGAAACCATAATCAGGAAGTGTTTGAAGACAAAACATATCATGGTCAGAACACGGGTAATTTTCTATGAAACGAAATGGCCACCCGCATTTTTATGAAGGGATTTTTCTCTACCCAGTGTAAGGAATCCCTCATGACTCATGATGGAATCCGACCCCATATAATTACCATATAACTTAACAAAACACATTTTGGGATATATTGGGTGATTTTTATCCCTGGCTTCCTGCACTGATTTTCCCCCCAAAAATGGGCCATTTGTGGGTCAAAACCTTCAAAATAGGGATCACATGGATCAACAGATAGATTTTATATCATCATTCACAAGCATCCTACATAATATTATCATTGTCATTGTATATATAAATATTCATAAACACATCTGGTGTCTAAAGATGTCTTGTATAGATACATCAGCATGATTGTGGCAAATATTCTCCGACTCCCTCTTGTTAAACAACTTACAAAAAAATAAAAGTTTGCGAAGAACTGGAAGCCCTGGCCCATTTCGTTGGTTTTTCCATGTTTTTCAACCGGGTGATTTTCCAGTTCGTTTTACCTTTTCCAATCTTCACCAGAGGACCCCAAAAGTGAGCTATCCAGCTATCCCCCACCGGGGTTGGATGGGTAGAAACTAAGCCTTCAGCTTTTGTTGGTTATAAAAGGAAAATAACTAGCCACAGCAGCAAAAGATGACCATTGGCTGTGGACTACCAAAGATTGACCATAGTAAAGCCAGCAAGATTTTGATGGATAGTTGTTACATGAATTTGACCCGATCTAATCAAACTACTTAGCTGGATTCATGAATTTTACAAGGTAGGCCCCCCCAGTTATGTTTGTTGGTTTATAAACCCCATGAATACTAGTTCGATATATCTACATACATCATCATATATCTACCATAAACATCCATAAACCATAGAATTCCCCGAGCTATTTACAGCAACTGGATGTCTAAAACAACTCCAACTGGATGTTGCACGAAATTTCCGAGCCCTCGGACCGAGCAGTACGTAACTCCTGGAGTCTGAGACCGTGAAAAATTCAACGGGTCGTGTTGCAGGAAGACCATGCTTGGTTCATACTATATATATATATAAAACATATGTATATATGTATATGAATATATATATATAGTATGTATATAATTAATTATAATTATATAATATGTATATGATTATATATAATATGTATATAATTATATAATATATATAATATATATATATATTGAGCGAATCCAAGAGCCTGTATAAAACGCCAGGCAGAAAATTGACCTCATCAGAAATTCAATAATTCAGAAATTGGGAAACCATGGAGATTCTGATGTTGCCCAATGCTGCGCGCTCCGGCGCCGCAACACGTACCAAGCATCCGTTGGCACATATGTAAAGTACAAGCGCTATACAGTGAAAGAGGTGTGGAGGTGTATATGCCTAATTACTTTCTTCGAGATATCCCCACCCTAAACCCTATTTTGACATAGTTTTTGACATATGGCATATATATCTATATATAGAGTTTATATATATATATTCTGACATTCTATCTGGCTTTTTTTCTGGCATATACTCTGACATTCTATCTGAAATTCTTTCTGGCGTATACTCTGACATTCTATCTGACATACTTTCTGGCACACATTCTGACATTTCTTCTGTCATTCTTGCTGATATTTTTTCTGACATTGTTTCTGGCATTCTATCTGAAATATGTTCTGACATTCTATCTGGCAGTCTTTCTGGTATCCATTCTGACATCCTTTCTGACATTCTTTCTGGCATTCTATCTGACATTTGTTCTGACATTCTATCTGGCAATTTTTCTAACACCAATTCTGACATTTTATTTGGCATTTTCTCTCGCATCTACTTTGACATTGTTCTGACAATTCTATCTGACACATGTTCTGACACACACACATAATTTACATATGTTAATATATGTATATATACACATATACATAGGTCTATTATGTCCCATATAACCAATATGATATATCCATCGTGTATATCCATGTTATATGTGTATATCCATAACCCCATATATCAATGGCCATTTTAGGAAAATGGAGGTACTGTGCCAAATAAAGGCATATATGCATATATTGTTGGTACATCCCCTTACATAGCCCTTACATATACCTTATATATATATGGTAGGTACCTCAGAGTTAGGTTCCTGAAATGGTTACTGGGTAAATGAGGCTTTGCACCAAGAGAAATGATGATTGAAGCAATCAAAATGGGGATTTCAAGATAACACATGATAAAACGATGTTTTTTTTTCCTGTTAACCATGATATTCATGTTTCACCCATCTGCAAAGTTCTAGCAAAAGTCACTATGAAGATATGGGTGAATCGACTGACTAGTGAATGGTTAATGGGTCAATCTAGTCAATCAATGCATCCAAAAAAAATGAGGTTTTGTTTCCCCATGAGATCACGAATGGCACAGTTACTCCAGGCTTACCACTTAGCCATGGACCGAGGAAGGACTCCAGGAGTTTGATGAAAATCAAGTTTTCTGATCCGCTTGGCACAAGAAAAAAAGCCACGCCGAGGGCGCTGAGCCGATTTTCGTTCCAAGAATAGATGCGAATGGCGTAGCTAGCCATGGATTTCCACGATTTGAAATGCGTAGCTAGCATTGTTCATACAACAAAACAATCACGATGATGATGATGATGATGATGATGATGAATAATAATGATGGATGATGATGATGATTATTATTATTATTATGAATAATGATGAATGATGATGATGATGATGATGATATGATGATGATGATGATGATGATGATTATGATGATGATGAATAATGATGAATGATGATGATGATGATGATGATGAATAATGATGAATGTTGATGATGATGATGAATAATGGTGATGGATGATGATGATGATGATGATGATTATGATGATGATGATGAATAATGATGAATGATGAATGATGATGATGAAT